CCTAGTTTGGGCGGAGCGGACGTGCCGGGCCGCAGCGGAGACCCCGAGCGGCACAGGAGGAACGCCCTGAAGGTGGGTCAGAACCGGACTGCGAGGACCTTGAGGGTCGGGGTGGAGCGGCCTGGGGTCCTGGAGTTGGGGAACAGCGGAGCCACAGGCCCTGGGTTCCCCACCCTCCCGGGGCAGCTCGGACCGGACGCTCGGGTCCTCCGGGTCCCTCCCCTAGGGGGCGGGATTAGCGGTTCTGACCAATGACAGGCCGCCCAGAGGCCCCGCCCCCGACGCCTCACGAATGCCCAAAAAAAAATGAAACTCAAGATCCCCGTGGACAACAAGGAGGTACGTGTCCCACACCCCGATCCCTAACCTGGTTCCGGCGCAGCCTCCGTCAGGCAGAAGCCCTGGATCTGCCCCTGCAGCTACTATCCTGTGTGGTGAGAGCAGGCGCCGGGGAGAGAAGCCCGGAGCTGGGAGCCTAATGCAGACGGGGTGGGGGAGGGGCCAGGTTAGGCAACAGAAACCCCGGGCTCCTGGTAGCATTTACTCTTCTCCAGGCACTGTGTTAAGCACCGCGGTTCTATAACATAGGGAGTATTTGTTCCATTTTACAGGTGAGGGGACTGAGGCCCAGGAAGCTTGATAGTTTGGTGACTGGCCAAGGTCTCAAAGTTAGTGAAGAGATGGCTTATCTGAGACCAGTGAGAGTGAGGGGTGAGGTGAGTGGCGACTCCAGGCAGAAGAAATGGGCCTTTCAGTGGCCCAGAGGGAGTGAGTGGGGCACGGGGAGAAGCGTGGAGGAGCCCAGGGTGTTTGGCAGGCCAGGTAGGGCATTTGGGATTTATCCTGAGGGAGAGGAAGGTTTAACGAGAGGAGCTTTAATATCAGAATAGGAGTTAGATTTCCCCCTTCAAGCCCCAAACTGCCACAACTTCCCGTGCAGCCCTGCTCATACCTGGAGAACTCTGGCTGGGCCAGGTTTCTGGGCCCAGGCTCTGGTTTCTTCCTGCAGGGGAGCCAGTTCCCAGGGAAAGACGTTCTGCTGCCCCCTAGTGGGTGTGGTGGGCCCTCGGGGGAGGGGGCTGGCTGCTTTGGCCTCTGCTCCCAGTCAAAATAGCTCTGGAGGTCTGTTTTTCTCAGGCCTCCTTGGCCCATCATCCTAGCTTACTCTGCCTCCTCTGGCCCTGTGATCTGATCTCCCCATTCCACCTATAAGTTAAGAACTTGGACTCCAGAGCTCAGGGTGGACTTTCATCTCCATTTACCAGCTGTATGACCTTGGGCAAGGTTCTTAACCTCTTTGTGCCTCACGTTCCTCATTTGTAAAAGGACAATCATACCCACACCTACTTCTTAGGGTTGTAAGGGTGAAGTGAGTTAACACACGGAGAGAGAACTGTTTACATAATAAACACTATGTAAATATTATTCATTCTGCGATTATTCCTTCTTCCTCTTAAGTTTAGGACCTTGGTCTAGGTCAGTGGTCGGCAAACTGTGGCTCGAGAGCTACCTGAGGCTCTTTGGCCCCTTGAGTGTGGCTCTTCCACAAAATACCGACTTCTGCGCATGGGCCACGAAGTTTCAGTCGCACTGTATGTGCGCGCCTGCACGTGGTATTTTGTGGAAGAGCCACACTCAAGGGGCCAAAGAGCCTCAGGTAGCTCTCGAGCCACAGTTTGCCGACCACTGACCTAGACCAAGGTCCTAAACTTAAGAGGAAGAAGGAATAATCGCAGAATGAATAATATTTACATAGTGTTTATTATGTAAACAGTTCTCTCTCCGTGTGTTAACTCACTTCACCCTTACAACCCTAAGAAGTAGGTGTGGGTATGATTGTCCTTTTACAAATGAGGAACGTGAGGCACAAAGAGGTTAAGAACCTTGCCCAAGGTCATACAGCTGGTAAATGGAGATGAAAGTCCACCCTGAGCTCTGGAGTCCAAGTTCTTAACTTATAGGTGGAATGGGGAGATCAGACAAATTTCTTAAACTTAAACTATATAGGTAGGTACATTGTTATTAACTTAATTAGGGTACTCCTAAGGCTTAGGAAGAGCCTTAAGGTCATCCTAGAGATTTTTCAACTCATTTTTACCAAAAGCCTTTTTGGGCTGTATCCTAGGGCTGGGTGTGAAAGGGGAAACCCTCATGGGGGCCTAGATAGAAGATTGAGGGCAGACAGCTCAAGGCAGTGGGGAAGGCTCACAGACAAAGCTCAGTGGGCATTTGGCAAATGGAGGCAGAGGAGGGGCTTCCGGGAGGAGGAAACAGCAAAAGCAAAGGCTCAGAGGAGACGGGGCCAGAGAGCTACAGGTATTGGAAGCCGCATAGGAATTTTGCATTCGCGTGAGGTGATACGGTGCCATCAGAAGCCTCAGATCAGAGGAGGCACGTTAGGTTTTCTGTTCAGAAGATTCCCTGGCTGTTGTGGGGAGAACAGGCCATGTGAGGCTGGCAGCCTGCTCTCAGGTAGTGACAGTAGTGGAGACAAGTTGGGGATATTTTCGAACCTTGATTGGACTGGCTAGAGCTAAGGATGGGATGGAGGAGGCTGGGTATGGCTGGCCATGAAACGTACGGAGGGCTAGACTCTAGACCAGGGGTGGGCAAACTTTTTGACTCGAGGGCCACAATGGGTTCTTAAACTGGACCGGAGGGCCGGAACAAAAGCATGGATGGAGTGTTTGTGTGAACTAATATAAATTCAAAGTAAACATCATTACATAAAAGGGTACGGTCTTTTTTTTTTTTTAGTTTTATTCATTTCAAACGGGCCGGATCCGGCCCGTGGGCCGTAGTTTGCCCACGGCTGCTCTAGACAGAACGTGTAGCAGTTAAAAGCATTGGTTCAAATCCCAGCTTCACCATTTACCAGCTGTGCCTACACATCCCATCAAGGTTTAGCATAGCACTCTGCCCACAAGGTAGCTCATGAGCTTGCTGTGTGGTCTCCCTGAGTCTGTTTCTATGAAGATTGTCGTCTCCAAAGCTCTTTCTAGTGCTGACATCCTGCATCTCGTAGCTGTCATCACCCAGTCCCATGGCCAGTCGTTGTCCAGAACAGGCCTGAATTATGCTGCACACGGGCGCTGAAGAATTCTCTCACTGCCTATCAAAATCCAACTTCTCCTTAATGAACACAAAGATATTCTCAAAGGGCTCTGTGCACATCTAATCCTCTCTCTCTCTTTGCTTAAACTTTTGAGTGTTTCCCTCAAGATACAGTCTTAGCTCCTAGGCCTGGCATTCAAAGCTCTACACCACCTGACCTCATGTCCTGACTTCATGACCCAACACCCATCCCATGCCCCAGTTCAAACAGACCTGCCCCTTTCTCACCTCTAAGCCTGCCTGTGCGGTCCTTCAGCCTGTAAAACCCTCTTCACCTCTCCCACCTGCTTTCTCCAGGAGTTGTTTTCTCTTTTAAGAAGCATACAAGTCACCTGGGAATCTTGTTAAAGTGAAGGTTGTGATTCAGTAGGTCTGTGGTGGGACTTGAGATTCTAACAAGTTCCCGGTGATGCTGATATGGCTGGTCTGTAGCAAGGAGCTAGTGGTTCTCAACCTTGGCTGCACATTAGAATCACCTGGGAATCTTTTTAAAATCCTGATTTCTGGGCCTCATCCTCCGGAAATTCTGTTTCTTTGTTATGGGGTGGGGCCACAACATTGGTAACAAAGAAATAGAATTTCCGGAGGACGGGGCCTGGAAATCAGGATTTTAAAAAGATTCCCAGGTGATTCTAATGTGCAGCCAAGGTTGAGAACCACTGAGCTAGAGGGTAGGGATCGTACTACCAAAAAGAAGGGGGATTCTGAAAAGGGTCCAGGGCAGGGAGACAAGCTGTGTAGGGTGACCTCAAACTTGTCAGTGAGGTAGAACTGCAGCATGATTAAGAGAACAGGTGTTTTGGATGATGAGACTTGGAGTTCAGACCCCAGTTCGGACATTGATTGGCTGTAGGGCCTTGTGTGGTCACTTTCCTTCTGAGTCTTACTTTCTTATCTATAAAATGGAGCTCATGATACCTAACCCAAGGGGTTGTGAGAATTTAACGAGAACATGAGTGAGAAGCACTTAGCACAGTCCCTGGCACATAGAGAGCTCAATTCATGGTAGTTGTTGTTATTTTAAAATAAACTTTTATTAATTTCAGGAGGAAGGGAGAGGGAGAGAGAGATAGAAACATCACTGATGACAGCATCATTGATCGGCTGCCTCCTACACGCCCCATACTGGGGTTTGAGTCCGCAGCCCCGGCATGTGCCCTGACCTGGTATTGAACCGTGAACTCCTGGTTCATAGGTCAATGTTCAACAACTGAGCCATATTGGCCGGGTAGTAGTTATTACTGAGGAGGGAACTGGGACCTTTGCTCTGTTAAAACCAAACCAAACATAAAACAGGAATACAAACGCAATCACTTCATGGACTTGGATCATCATATCACTATACTACATTGTATCCCCATGGGACTTCCTTGTTATAGTGCAAATACCATTTATTCTAATTTTTAAATCTAATAGCTGTAGAATTTAACACGTGTAAGGGCCTTGACTGACCACCTAGTCTGGTATTTGCCCAGCTTTAGTTGCATGTTCATCGCTCACCTGCTGTGCTCATTACTTAATGCTTTTCCTCAGATAGGTTAGCAGTTTTTGTTAAATCCATTTTTATCCAAAAAATAATACTGATGAAACTGTGGGTTTCATGTGATGCATCTTTTTTCTAATATCCGTGAAAAAAGATACATAATGATCATAATGAGATGCGAGTGCACCAGCAGAAGACTGAATCCTCTTGCACCCTGTGATGTGTGCGTATCTCCAGTTGGGCACTTTTTATCTCACGGAGCCTACCTCGCCTTCCTGGCTTCTCTGGGGCCTGGGACGGGAGTGACTTGCCTGTGGTCTTAATGAGTTAGTCTCAGCCCCTCTCACCTAGATTTCTCCTGGGGCATCCAGAGCCCCTTCTCTTGGAGCCGATGCCAAGAGTACTTGTGTGAAGAGCTTCCTTTTTCTAGTCAGTGACCCTGCGTAAGGACGCCCTCGGGAAGGTTTTAGTCATCTTAAAGATGGGTGCCAGAGACAAAAGGGCCAGAACAAAATGTAGTATAATAAGAAAAGTTCTCTCCACAGTGGCTGCCGTGCTGCAGTAAACCCAGTAGGTGTCAAAACCGGGGCAAGACTGGAAAGTGTGACCTTGAATTCTCACTGTGCCAACTCAGCTATGGGGAGTTTCTCGATATCAGGTTGTACTTTAACTTTAAATTCCTCTTGGAAAGTGCCAGGGACTTGGAGTCCAGCCTCTGTCCCATCTTGGCTGTGCGAGCGCA